AACAATGTTCCACGTCTGCCGGCGGGTCCAGTCCCACTCCCCCTTGCCCCCAGCCCTCGCCACGGCACAGGCAGGCAGCAGCGCCCGCAGGCAGGATACAGGTTGTTCTTGTAGGAGCTGCTGATGTAGCGCCCGCTCTCCGTCCGCACCTTCTTCTTGTCCTCCTGGCCCGTCTGCCCCACGAACCGCTTCTTCTTGCGGTCCCTGTGAGAGAGGGGAGGGCGGTGGGACCGGGCGGGGGGGGCCCCCGTGCCCGGGCGGTGGGACCCCCAGCCCTGATTTCCCCCCCACTCCATGGCCAGACCCCACTCACCACTTCAGCAGCTGCTTGCTCTTGTTGAGGTTGTGGTTTTCGTCACCCATGAGATCCAGGACAGCTCCGGCCGCCTGCTGCTCGAAGGGACTGCCCTCGCCGCCCACACTCAGCCTGCAAAGGGCAGGCGATGAGAGCAGCCCCCGGCACGGGCCGGGGCGGCCGGCAGCGGGAGCCCTCTTGGACTCACCCCCTCTCGCTCTCAAAGTCCTTGGGCCGGTACGGGATGTAGAAGTCCTCGTCCCGTTGCACCGGCTGCTGCGGCTTTTTCCTGGTGCCGTCTTCTCCCCCTCGGCCCCGTTTTCGCTTCTGGCCCACCACGGTGGAGAACACGTCCTGGAAGGAGATGGCGGATGGGATGGAGGAGCCATGTCCCCCCACCAGTCACTAACACCAGCCCCCAAGCCCTGGCACAGCCCAGGGGCCCTGGTGCTGCCAGCACCCGGCCGAGGCTGCCTTGCAGCAGCTCCCGCATCCACGGCAAACCCCCCATCCCTGCCCCGTTACCTGGAGGTCTTCCTCCTCTCCTTCTCCCTCCTCAGGCTCGGGGGGGGCCGGGCACAGCCCCTGCCCTTTGAGAGCCGCTGCCCGCTTCTCCTGCTGCCCGCGCTGGTACTTCTCGATGAGGGCATGGTCGTGGCGCCGCTTCGACCGCATCACGGTGCTGGCCAGTGTCCGGGACGTGGCGTTGATCTCAAAGATGGTCTGGTCCCGGGGGCGGGAGCATGAGCCCCGGTGAGCTGCACGGCCGGCTGCATGGACCTTCCCTCCCACCCCAACCCAGGTACCTCCTGCCCGAGGATGGGTCTCAACTCACCGCCTTGGACTTGTAGGTTTTAATGCTGTCCACAAACTTCAGCCTCTCCAGCTCGGTGTCTTCGAAGCGAGCGCCTGGGGAATGCAGGCACCGAGAGGGGCGCAGATTAGCTCCTTGGCGAGGGGAACGGGGTCCCCTCCCTCGGCGTCCCCGAGGGACTCACTGAAGAGCGGGTGGATGCCCAGCTGGGACACGTCCAGGTCCTTCGCCCTCTTGATGGACTCAGGCGAGGGGCCGGGCCGGGACCGCAGGTACTGCTTGTGGGCGTTGCTGGCGACGCGGCGCAGGCTCTGCAGCTCCAGCGAGCCCTCGTGGTCCGTCAGCAGCAGGCACTCCTCGTCATCCACCAGGCTCTGGGGGACACGGCCCAGGACCCCACTGGCATCTGCAGCCCAGGGGACACCGTGTCACCTCGCCGGCACCCACCCTGGGATTGTTGCAGCAGGCGCGGCAGCAATCCAGGATTTAACAGAGCAGAGCTAACAGCCACGGGGAGCTCGGTGGTGTTAAATCAGCATCCCTGACACACGGGGTGCGTCGGAGCCCCCAGCACCCCATTTTCCCCAGCTGCACCCCAGTAATGAGAGCATATCGCCCCTCTGCACGAATGCCAACCACAAGGTCACGAACTCCAGTGCTGGCCAAGGGTAAAACCACAGCGGCCACGTGGCCAGTGTCCCAGCTTGGACATGCAGCCACCCCTACGCCTGCAACCAGGTCTGCCTCACCAGCGGGCATCTCCTGGGCACCGGCGAGGACGAGCGGGCGCCCCAGGAAGAGGTGGAGATCAAAGACGTAGGGCATCTCATCGGGAGCCACCAGCGAGTAGGCGGTGCCGCTCCGGCCAGCTCGGGCCACGCGACCTGGCAAGGGGAGGAGGAGAGTGGGAAACCAGACCCAGTGCCAGCCCAGCCTGCCCCCACCCCGGCAGGGACCCACTGGTGTCCCCGGGAGCCCACGCACGTGACATTTACCAGCTGGGCATGGCTGGCAAGGGGCCGTGAGATGCTGGGGAAGGGGGCAAAGGGGAGCCCACCACGGTGCCATCCTAAAGGGAAGGCACCAGCCCTGCCCCAAGAGCCCCCGCAGCCCGGCTGGGAAATCAGGGACGTTCCTGCCTCTGCTTTGTCCCCAGCCTGTCTCCTGATGTCACAACACGGCAACCTCCTGCCCCAAAGATATCGCCACCAAGTCGGGGGCATCAGTGCCAGCCCAGCAGTGCACATGGATGGGAAAAACAAGGGACAGCCCACTCACACCCTCCCTGTCACCCCGAGGGACCCCCAGGTTGCAAGGACCCCTGCGCGGGGCACCGGCACCCACCGACACGATGCAGGAACAGCTTGGCCTTGGCGGGGAAGCTGTAGTTGATGACGTTGTCCAGCATGGGGATGTCGAGCCCGCGGGCGGCCACATCGGTGACCAGCAGCACCGGGCACTTGCCCTGGGCGAACTTGGCGATGTTGATCTTGCGGGCGGTCTGGTCCAGCGAGCTGTAGATGTGTGTGCAGCGGATGCCCTGGGCTGTCAGCAGCTGGGGAGGGGGGAAGAGAGATCAGATCCCACCTGGGCATGCACCCTCAGCCAAGGGACAGGGCTCCCCAGCTCCCAGGGCCCTGAGACCCAAGGGTGCCCACCCGGACCCCCAAATCCCACTGCGCTCCCCCCTCTCTCCGAGGTGTAGGTGGATGCAGCACCTCCACGATCGCATATGCTGGGATTTCTCCTTCAACCCAGCAAAACAGAGCAGAGACTCCAGCAGGGACGTGCCCACAGATGCAGACCCCCACGTGGGTCTGGAAAGGTGTCCTAGGCACCCCCGGCAGCTTGCCCTTTAACAGGGGTACATGCTGGGCACCCCCAAATGCCACTTGCCTCCTTGAGATACTCCGTGTGGTGCTTGGTGGCCACAAAGACGACTGTCTGGTCCTGGGGCTTCACCACGTTCCGGAGCAGGTGGAGCAGCACGGCCGGTTTGTCGTCCCCACGGGTGTGGAAGAAAGCCAGCTGCAAAGGGAGGGCAGAGCTCAGCCCCTCTGCATCCCCACACCAGACACCCTCACCCCTCCTGTCCCCTCCTCGCGAGCCTGGAGCCACCACAGGGTGGCTTGCAGGGGGTGGGGGGCACAAAGCCCGTCTCGAGCCCCCCCCGGCCCCTCTCACCTTGAGCTGCTCGCTGAGCTTGGACTCCACGTCCAGACGGATCAGCATCGGCTCGGTGAGACCTGTGGGATGCGGTGACACGCAGGACATGGGGCGCATGTGGGATGCGCTACTGGGACCAGCCCCGCCCCTCGGCCTGGGGACACCCACTTGGCCCAGCATTAACCCAGGCTCGGTTTCGCCAGCCCTGGGCCCAGCCCAGCTGTGGGACTGTGCCGTGTCCCCATCCCCAGGCTCCCCCCAGGTCCAGCCCCCCAGCCGCCATCTGCCCCACGCTCCTCACCGGCCCGGGCAAACTCGACGAGCAGCTTGGGCAGCGTGGCGGAGAAGAGGACGGTCTGGTGGCAGTCCGGGAGCCGGGCGATGATCTCCTGGAGCTGCTCGGCGAAGCCCATCTCGAAGAGCCTTCAGAGGAGGAAACACGGGACATGGCAGCGCCTGTTCAGTCCCTCCGTGCCCAGCCCTGCCACCCCCAAGGGGCACCTCACTCCCGCCATCACTCACCCCACACGCGGGGACACTGACAGCCCCAGGTACCCCCAGGGGACCCCCCCTGCGCCCCGCTGACCTGTCGGCCTCGTCGAACACCACGTACTCCACGGTGTGCAGCTTCAGTTTCATCTCCACCGCCACGTGCACCAGGCGCCCGGGGGTGGCGATGATTCTGCGGGGACAGAGCTGGTGACGGGACCAGGTGGGGAGGGACGGCGTCCCCACACCATCCCGGGTGCAGGTCCCAAATCCGACCCAAAGAAGACCCAATGGAGACCCCCTTGTCCCCCACGGGGAGCAGGGGAAGGTGCTCCAAGGGAACACCAGGACACGTCCATCGGGCACACTGGCTGTAAACACCAGTGATGTCCCTGGACGGCGGGTAGCTCTTGGGGGCCATTTCCCCACCAAGTCCCCTCCCCGCACCCCTACTCACATGTCGGGGTTCTCGTGCAGGGCGGCGAACTGGTCCTCCATCCTGCGAGAGGCGGGAGAGGCTGGGGCGGCGCCGGGCGGCACGGGGCAGCTCAGCCCCTCGCCAGGTTTTGGGGAGGCTTTAGGGAAGCGGGGACCGGTGGGGACACGGGGATGGCTTACTTGTCTCCTCCCAGGATCAGGGCTGTCTTCAAGCCCGTGAACTTGCCCAGCTGCAGGGTGAGAAAGACACATGTTGGCGGGGGGGTAAAACCAAACCCCTTGGCCCCGTTGTCCCCGCTCACCCCCGTTGTCCCCAGTCGCCTCCGTTGTCCCCAGTCGCCCCCGTACCTCCTTGGTGAACTTCAGGGTCTGCAGGGCCAGCTCGCGGGTGGGCGAGAGGACGAGGGCGCGTGCCCCGGCCTGGCTGGGCGCCTTCAGCCGCTCGAACATGGGGATGAGGAAGCAGGCCGTCTTCCCGCTGCCCGTCCGTGCCATCGCCACCACATCCCGGCCGCGCAGGATGGCGGGGATGCTCTGCGAGACACCGCCCCGCCGTCACCGTCACCGTCCCCCCCCCACCACCCCAGGATGGGGGTCCCGCCGCCCCCCGCGCTCACCTTCCTCTGGATGGGGGTGGGCACCTTGTAGCCCTTCTTCATGATGCCCTTGAAGACGGGGTAGCTGAGACCTGCAGGGACGGGGACAGGTGAGGGGGTGCAGGCAGGAGGGGACGGTCCTCGTCCCAGGGACGGCTGCCCCCACCCCGCACGCACCCATGGACTGGAAGCCCCCGGATTTCTTCTTCTTCTGGTTCTGGGCCCGCACCATGGCCCGCGTGTCCGGCTCGGCGTCGGCACCGTCATCCTCCTCAGTGTCTGGGAAGGCGGGGCGCGGGGGCACG